GTGATGTAATTACATAGCCAAATTTGATTGGCTAGGTGGTGATATAATATCACAGTCAAAATCTGATCGGTTGGGTTCACAGTAGAGATGACAGCTTCCAGGTGGGACCTGGGGATCCCCCAGAATTGCACCTCATCTCCAGACTACAGAGATCAATTCCCCTGGAGAAAATGGATGCTTTGGAGGGAGGACATTGTACCCCACTGAGGTCTCTGTCCTCACCAGGCTCTATCCCCAAATCTCCAGGAATTTCCCAACCTGGATCTGGCAAGTAGGCCTAGTTTATAGAGCCCAGGAACTTAAGAGAGGGCCAGGAAGCAGGAGCAGCAGCAACTGAGTGGGCTGTGAGAAATACTGAGCAGGCACAAATTAGGGGAAACATTTGTCGCCCACTGAGCCCACAAGCTCCTTCATAAAATGTTCACTTTGGAAGCAATTTTAGTATTCTCATACCATGCCATCAAAATCTCATGCCATAACCAGAACTCAAAATATATTATACGGAACCCATTTTCCCTCTCCAGTCTAACCATTCGTCTCTTGCAATAAAGTATAGTATACTCTGGGGTAAGGAGTTGTGGTCCTTGCTCACATTAGTGAGACAGTGTCCTGACAAAGCACCGTGAGACTTAGAGACACCACTCCTAATTTTCTTTAGTTTATAGCTTGCTATAATGCAGGGTCAGCAAGGTATGAACAAATGAGACCTTCAGATCCTGCTATATGTACAGTGGAGTGCAGCACATTACCTCTTCTCTTAAATGCCTCAGTCATTTTCACCCAGGAAACTCTGTGATCTTGCTCAAATGCTGAGCAGGGATGGAAATATATTGGAGCAGCTGAACCAGCAGAGCTTGCTGTCCTGTTTGAGGCTGACGTCCAGGACTCAAGGCAGCAATCAAGTTACTGCGGCTGAAGCGAACAGTGTATCATGAATGTTACAGCCAAGGCTGAAGGTGAACCAAGGCCTTAAATAATCTTGTAAGGAGGTGGAGATACAGCATTCTCCCCTACAGGAGCAGGCTACCTGTAAATAAAGGTGCCATACCCAGTTACAGTGGCAAGTACTGGGACAGGGCTGAGGTGGTTCAGGGCTTTGAGAGGTTGGTTGAGAAGAGACCTCTGATTCAGCGGCAGGCTCTGGGGTGGAGGGATCAGGGCCCAAGTCCAAATATCAGAAGACAAGTCTGTGTCCCAGGAAGAACAGCATGACTCAGAGTCTTCAGGCTCCTTCTGCACATCAAAGGAGGCTCCTGGAGGTATCTCCTCCTGTAGCAGTGTTAGCTGCCCAGCTGCCTCCTCCTGAGTCCTCAGTCTCTTTGCCTGACTAGGAGGAGTCTATGCTCTGTCCCATGACATTTGCCTTTCTTCACCTGAATGTTTTGGTCTGCCTCCCCATTAAGGTGAATGTGAGGGCCTTAAGCACATGGGTGAAAAGAAAAAACCTTTCCTGGTGCCAGCTCTGGACGTGTTTCCTCCCTGTTATGTATTAAGATGTCCACTACCGCATGCGCCCGGCCATGAAGTCTACCGGACTCACAGACCTTTGGGTCTAGAACAATAGCCACTGCGGATCCTAGCGAGAACCAATGGGAGCGCTAGGATCCTGAAGAGAACCTATCATTACTGGGCCCCTGTACATAGAACCTATCACAGGAATTGGGAGTGTGTTGGGTGTGTGTGCACTAATATAAGCCGGCATCGCGCCGGCTAAGTTTTCTTTGATCACTACGATGTAATTAATAAATGTGAGCTGATTTCACTATGCTACGCCTGGAACTCCACTACTTTTCACTGGTGACAAGGATGGGATCCCGATGAGCAAGCCTGACTCCAACCCGGGACCGGCACAGAGCACCAATCAATTGGACACCGCACCCCGCAATGCTCTCCAGCAGCACCACACCGCACCCCGCTCCTCCGAACATCGCTCTCCGCACCAGTCTCGAGTCATGGCTGCAGCTCCGGGATTCCTTATGGTTTTTGACCAACACATCCAGAGTTCTGGGAAACATGGGTGGACCAGCTGACGAACTACCTCACCTTCCACGACATCACAGATGCTGGTAAGAAGCGGGCTCTGCTAATGAGCTCCTGTGGGGTAGCCACCATCCGCCTGGTCAAGAGCCTCTTAGCACCAGCCAAATGGGAAGACAAAACGTATGAGGATCTACTCAAGGTCCTGAATGGGTATTTTGTGCCAAAGCCCATGAAAATGGCGAGGTAAATGGATCTATGGGCTCGAACACAAGAAGTGGGAGAAGGGGCCACTATATACATGGCCGAGTTACCCCAGCTCACCATGGACTGTGAATTGCCGGGGGTCAAAGAGATCATCCTAACGCAGTTCGTCTGGGGCATCCGCAATCCCAAGCTGCGCAGGAAGCTCATGGGAACCACTGACCTGATGCTCGAGACAGCACTCCAGACCACCAACGCATTTGAAAAGGCGCATCGGGATCGTCCGCCGTCATTTGGGACCCATCAGGTATTGGCAGGGGGTGCCCCTACCTCCTCGGACGAAGAAGAGGCGCTTCAGGTCCATCGGTCCACTCACCGAGAAGCACGCTTGTCACTGTCCGCTGAGGTCTCCAGTACACCGGCGACCTGCACAAGCTGTGGGGAGGATCACAAGCGGAGGTCCTGCTGCTTCCAGGAGGCAGTCTGCTGCGCCTGCGGACAACAGGGCCACATCGCCCGGGCCTGCCACTCCAAGGGACACCAGCGCCGCGCCACCACCCATCAAGAAACAACAGAACTCCACAGTACCTCGGTACATCGGAACCAGGTACATTTCTTACCACAGGGGTCCCCCAATAAGCTGAAAGTGACCGTCTTAATAGAGGGCACCCCGTGCGAAATGGAAGTAGACACAGGGTCCTCCCTCTCGATAATCTCGGAGGAAACCCTTCACACGCTTTGCCCTAAAGGGGGTCCCCCACTGGAAACCACCGAGCTCGCACTAAGGGACTTCCAAAAGAACCCGGTCGCCATTAAAGGGGTGGCCCAGTTCTGTGTAAAATACAAAGACTTTGAAGGGCCCTTGGAACTGGTCATAGTTAAGGGCCGCCTCACCAGATTACTGGGATTAGCCTGGTTCAACGCATTGGGCCTGGCCGTCACCGGAATACAAAATATATCATTGGGCAACTTTAGAAATGTGTGCGATGAGTTCCCGGCTGTATTTGACGGATCACTCGGCCGCTATACAGGGCCACCAGTCACCCTAGACCTAGATCCAGTGGTGCGTCCCCTACGCCTGAAAGCCCGGTGGCCCCTGTTTGCTCTACAGCCCATGATCGAGGCAGAACTTGACCGCCTAGTCAGCTGGGGGTACTGGAGCCAGTGTCCCAAGCAAAATGGGAGACCCCTATCATAACCCCAGTCAAACCCAATGGGGCTGTCAGTATCTGTGCAGACTACAAATTCACTATCAATAAGGCCCTCCAAGATCACGCATATCCCGTTCCAGTGGTGAGCCATGACCTCGCGTCCCTGGCCGTGGCTAAAATATTCGGCAAACTGGACTTGGCACAAGCCTACCAGCAGCTACCAGCAGCTGCCACAGCAGAAGCCCAGACAATATTAACACAACGGGGAGCATTTAAGGTCAAGCGTCTGCCATTTGGGGTTAGTGTAGCTCCGGGGATTTTCCAGAATTTAATGGACCGTTTGCTGAAAGGAATACCCGGAGTACAACCCTTCTTTGATGATGTGTTCATTGCGGCGCCATCTCCCGAAGCTTCTCCAACCATCTTAGAGACATCCTACAGCACTTCAATGCAGCCGGCATTGAGAGAAAAGTGTCTCCTCGGGGTCGCCAGCGTCGAGTTCCTGGGATTCCAAGTTGACGCCCGCGGAATCCACCCCACACCGGACAAAATAGCAGCCATCGTCAATGCACCTACACCCTCCTCAAAACCAGAGCTGCAGACTTTCCTTGGCCTGCTCAACTTGTACCACTCCTTCCTCCCCCACAAAGCAGCTGTGGCCAAGCCCCTACAACATCTCTTGGACAAACATGCACAGTGGAAGTGGGGGCCACCGCAGGCTGTGGTGTTTCAGGTTGTGAAAGACTTACTGACTTACAATGCCGTCCTGGCCCATTTTGATGAGTTTCTTCCCATGGTGCTCACCTGCGATGCATCCCCCTATGGGGTGGGGGCAGTCCTGGGTCACAAACTGACTGACGGCCGCGAGGTCCGGGTGGTGTATTACTCGTGAACCTTGTTGGTGGTGGAGTGAAACTATGCTCAGATAGACAAGGAGGTGCTGGCGATCGTGGCAGGGGTGCACAAGATCCATGACTACTTGTACGGCCGCCCCTTCACGATCCTCATGGATCACAAATCTCTGCTGGGCCTCCTCGCCCCGGACCGCCAGACGACCCAGATGTTGTCTCCTAGGGTGCTGCAGTGGTCTATCTTTCTTGCCGGCTACCAGTATACCCTGCTGCACAGACCAGGCAAGGTGATGGGACACGCTGATGCCCTCAGTCGCCTTCCACTGCCCGTCTACAACCCAGCCCCGCCCCCCACGCATCAGATCCTGCTGTTGGAAGACTGCGTCCTCTGCCGGGTTTGGGACTGATTTACCCAAAGCTGAAAACTACTGGCTTTTTTTTTTTTGGCACACCCCTAATCAAGGCCACAGAACTTGCCTAGCCTAGGCTGTTTTCTAGAATGCTGGAAGTAGCTGTATATTCACACTCAGTGTTAACTTCTTATCCCCAGACTGCTGAGGAGCAAAGAATGATTCATTCCCTATCAGAAAAGAGACATGCCTCCTCATAACTGTTGCTGTGTCATTGCTCTGTGCCTTCCTTTCCCATTTCTTCTCAAAAACTTCAGGTAACCTCCCTGTTTTCATTTCTCAGAACTGCTGTTTACTCACACGTATGGGTGCTGCCATTAGAAAGAGGTCTGCCTGAAGCTACTTTTCAGAGCTTTCCTGCTTTGCCAGCTAGAGAGACAGGGTGTCTTGGAAACATTCAGGCTCACCTATTAGTGAATTCAGTGAGGAGTAGGAGCTGACTCTTCTCATCTTGTCAATGGTCTCAAAAGACAGGATATACTCTTCATTCTCAGGGCTGCCCAAAGTGCTGCTGGCACTGCTGCTGGTGCTCAAGTTCCCAGGGGAAAATGCAACAGAGCTCCCCGCTGTTAAAGAAGAACAAGCACAACAGCATTGAAAGAAACACGTTTCTGAGGATCTCACTTACTGAAGTAGCAACGCACACACATTATGGTATTCACTGCCCTTGGGAGAACAATCAGAAGTTTCCATGTTCTCTCAATGCAAAACATTTTTGCTTCAACAGCTTATAAAGACTATGCACACATACATTCTTGAAGAAAATGGCTTTGGGTACTTTCATTGGCTATGATAATGAATTTTCACCTTGGCAGGTATCATGGAACAGTGTACAGGTAGCCTTTGATACCTTTGAGATTCTCTCTCACAGCAGAGAATGCAGAATAATGGGTAATGACTGCATTCCAGTGTTGCTTTGTCTTGATTATGTTCTGAAAATGTTTTAATAAATGACCTATTTAATAAATGACCCATCTTTGCAGTGTGCAGACAAGAACATAAGACATGTGAACAATGGAGAAGGGTGCAGGAGATGCAAATACATGCCTTACAACATTTTTGGAGCTTGCTTGCCATTTTTGCAAAACATTTTGCAGAGGAGGTCACTCACATTTGACACAAAAAATTCCACTCGTTTAACAATTCAATCTCAGAAGGTTATCAAAGTGCTGCATAATCACAGTTGCTTGGATGACTTTCAGTTACCGAAGCCAGAGGAGATTATCAAATTGCTTGGAAGAGTCCAACTGACATCCTTACTGCTTGACCCTTGCCTGTCTTGGCTGATTAAAACTAGAGGGAAGGCTAGTTGGGTCTTAAACAGAGTGGGTAGTACTAGTCACCTTGCAAGAAAATAACCCTACTTCTGGAAGAGCTACCCCATGATTTAAAACAACAACAACAACACCCCTCTTCTTGGACAAAATTCTCAAGTGAGTAGTTGCCAGACATTTTTAGTCATCTTTGAATAAGATAAGCCCTTTCCAACCAAGCTTTAGGCTTGCATTGGAAAGCTGGAAATTCTGATGTATAACCTTTACCAGGAGAGACACAGGAAGTACATCCATGCTGAATCCTCCTAGATCTCTCAGCGGCTTTTGATACCAATTTTTCCTGGAATGGTTGGCTGATACATGAATTTCAGGTGCCATGCCCTGGTGGTTCCTTTCAACATATGGCTGACTGACTCCAGAAGATGGTGCCAGGGGACTCATGTGCTCTTGTCCATTTCTGGAGATCTGTTCCAAAGGTGAAGGCATCACTAAGCCCTCCACTCCAGCACTCACCAGGTACCAAATTTATTGAGTTGCTAATGCCAGAAAAAAACATTCCCTAATGAGAGTGTGTGTTTACTCCTGACATTTAAAAAACAAAACAAAACAAAACTGAAGCTATGGAGTATTTCCCTTTACCCTCTGCTAATGTTGCTGGGTTTTAATTTTTTACCAATGTGCTGCCTTTTCATGGGTTGCAACAGGGGTTCTATTTTTATTATTGATGCTGCCCCAGGAAACAGTTTCAGGTTGAAGGATAACCATTCCTACATTTCAAAGATGCACAGGTTTCCTTTACAGACTAAGATAGATCTGAAAGTGGACTAGGAAAAAGATCTGGCTGGGGATGAGAAATTAGAGAGAATTTGGAGAGGGGATACATCCAGGGAAGGACCTGTAAGAAAGACTGAAGAAAGTAGGAGGGGTTGGAAGAAAATTTGAGAGTGGTATTCAGTGAACAAACATGCTAATACATCTTCTTGGAAGAGGTTGAAAACACCATGGCAGACTAGGTGTATTTAGGGGACACTGTTCACCACTGTTTAAACAACGAATTGGCTCACTATGGCTTTGGCTGGTAGCAGCCCTTCAACTACAATTTACCCAAATAATTTAAGAAATAACAAGTTAGAGGGGGGAAATGAAAGAGAATCTTGAAAAGCCATCTTACATTCTTCATTCAAGCTGAGGTTCTGCAGAGACTTATTCAAATTCCTTGCTGTGGTGACTGCTCGAATATTCCCATAGGAGCTGACAGAACGAAGTCGTGGTGTGCATGGACTATCCCGCACTGGAGTCAGACTTCCAGTTTCTGTGGAGGCAATATTTAACTGTTACCCACACAGACAGATCAAAAGCAGCTCCTTCATTGTGACAGGGCAACGACATTAAAAAATAAAATAAAAGTGGCATAAAATAAACAGCATCACACCCGCCCACTAGAGAACTGAACAAGAGGTGGTAAGTCAATTTCCTCTCTCATCATCTTCATGCACAAAGACCACTGCTTTCTATGTTTCCACAACATGATTACAGCCTGGAATTTAAACGGAACAGGGCTAGGCTTAGTTAGACCAGAAACAGAATGGCTTCCTGCTGGGAAGCATGCCTGAGACCTCATGGCCAAAGGTGTCCCTTACAAGAGTTTGGTTGAGGAGGGTTTGCCAGGAGCAGAGGCCATAATGTGGGTGGCAATACCCCTGTGGTGGTGGGTGGCCGTGGCACAAGTGTCATGATGTGCGGTGAGTGTCATGGCCGGCGCTACCACCTGGCCCCAGCTCTGGGGGCTGGGTCCAGCCACCCACAGCTTCCAACTGCCCTCCCCTGATGGCATAGACAAACTAAGCACCCTGGCCCTGGGGAGGTGCATGACAACAGCAGCCTCTGTAATCCTGCGGTCACTTGGTATCACAGGGTCCCTGGCTTTGGTGGCTGAGGAGGGGGTGATGCAGACGGAGGACTTGATGTCTTTGGATGGCAGAGAGGGAGGGGTGGGGGCCGTGGCAGGGCAGCTGTCCCTGGGCCAGGTGTCGCAGCTGCTGGTGGCCCAGAAGAGGGGAGGCTGGGGCCTGTGTCCAGCCCAGCTGATCCCACCCAGCAATTAAATGGGAGTGGATGGAGAGTAATCATGAGTGGAAGGAAGCCTTTTCCAAGAGGGCAGCAATGTATGGAGGGGCTGGCAGCACCTATAATGGTACCTGCTGGACACCTGGAAGGGCTTCTTGCCACAGCGAGGGATGTGGGTGAGGGACAGGGGCGCATCAAGAGGGTGCCTGGGACCTGTCTGAGTCTGGTTGGCCCCCCTGGCACCTCATGCCCCTCCTCCTGCTCTGCCTTCAGTAGGGGTGATGCAAGTTGGCACAGGGACACCCTCGATGCATGGGCACCCTGGTGGACGCCAGAACTGGCAGTGAGAGTGGAAGCACCCTCACATCCATATTCTTGTCTGTCATCACCCTGTACGCTCTGTGTGTGGAGTGCCACAGTGGGGGTCTCTATGGGGCTGACAGGTAACACCCCCTCCCCACTGAGAGGTGGCCAGGCCTTGTAATGGGAGCTGGTCTCTTGAAGGGTATGAGTGCAGCAGAGGAGGTGTGGCCTGCCCCTCTTCACCCCTTGCCAGTGACAAATACTTGGCTCAGCCTCCTCGACTCATGACTCCCAGTGATCCTGCCTGCCCTGTCTATCACGTCACCTTCACCTTACAACAAAGCCAGAACAGAATGCTGCAGCAGGATTGCCACAGACACCACTGCAGCAGTGCCTGACAACACTGTTGGGGCAAAACCTTTTTTCCCTTTTGGCCACTGCATAACTATCCCTTTAGGGAGGCGACTAGTGGCACCGCAGCTGGCAGCCGTAGTGCAGGGACAACTCAGGATAGCTCTGTAAATTACTAATTTTAGGGAAACAATTGTACTTTCATCTAAATGATCTGACTGTAGATATTCCAGTGTTCCCAGAGATTACCTGGGCTGTTTAATATTTAAGATGACATTTAATGAAATAAAAGGCCAGCAGCAATTTGATTAAGAGTTTTTCATTTCTAAAATGAAGCAAAATGCATAAGAGGAGGAAACAAAAGGAAGAGGGCATAGAAAAGCATGTAAAGCCCACAACTTTTGAACTGTAGAATAGGGATAGGCAAGAACCAGGAAAATGCAGTTCGTATCAGCTCATGGTGTGCATGGTTCATGAACCACGGACCACCACAAACTTTTTTGATACTAGATGAATTAGTTTGGTTTGTGAGGTTTGTCACACAGTAGAACACTCCATCCCCTGACATGCTAGAGACACCGAACTTGCAGGAGATTTCTGGCTGACTTTCTTCTACCTGCCCTCCAGAGATGGAAGGACAGAAAGACAGACATGACAAGACTTCTGACAAGGGCTCTCCAAAGAAACCCCACGACAGTTGGTGGGCACCCCAACCCCACAAGACCAGCGGAAATCAGAGTTTTCCATTTAAAGTGATTAATGATGCAACCTGTCTTGCATAATGAAGAAAGACTGTTTACAGTTTCTTCCCCAGCCAAGAGTTTATGGATTGAAGTGTTGATGTATGTTCATACAGTGTGTACAGATGTACCTGCCCCAGGAGGCATGGGCTGGGGTCCAGTAGGGCAGATTACAGGCAAAGTTGTAGAGAGTAACTAAAGTCCAGTCCAAACATCAGGGGTTCCAGAATGCAGGTTTACCAAAGTCCAGTCTAGAGTCAAGAAGTTCCAGGCAGCAAGTCCAGGCCAAGGTCAAGGGTTCCAGAAAAGCCAGTTGTCAGGTTCAGTTCAAGGTTGCAGAGGTCCAGTAACAGCAAGGTTGGTGGCTCAGTAGCAAAGTATACTTGTTACACCCACAAACTGCTGCTTTTCCCAGCTGAGTTTATAGCTAAGTCTTAATGAGCTAAACTCCCAGCCAATTCCTTGGCAGTCATCCTGAAACTACTCATTTGCCTCTTCAATTGACAGCTTGCATTTCTTCTCCTTTCTTGCAACTCTAAGCACCTCTGCCTCAAAGAGCCCAACCAGGGAGAAGCCCCACTACTGGTTGTCAGTAGTAAACTGGGAGGTCAGGAGCAGTGGAGATGCCAGGCATGCAATGGTGGAGGAGTTGGCAGAGGTGATGGCAAGAGAGTGCCTTGCCAAGTCTCCTGAGACCGCCGATGCCAATCCCTTGTAGTACTGATCACAGAAGGCTATCATCTGATCTGATCTCTCTTGCAGGGTCATAAGCCCTGAGTCCACCTAACACCCAGACCCCAGCAGGGGAGAGAAGTTCACAATCAGGAGGGTATAAAACGTGGGTCCTCATCCGAGGCACTCAGTGTGAGCAGAGAGACAGGGTAGTTCAGAGCGCTGAGTCCACCTAACACCCAAAGCTCAGAAGGGAAGAGAAGTTCACAATCAGGAAGTTATAAAATGTGGGTCCTCACTCAGCCAAGGCACCCAGTAGCTAAGCCCCACTGCTCAGCATGAGCACAGAGACCAGGTGGACTCAGAACCCTGAGTCCACCTAATACCCAAACCCCAGCAGGGGAGAGTTCACAATTGAGAGGGTATTAAATGTGGGTCCTCACTCAACCAAGGCACACAGTAGTTATGCCCCTCTGCTCAGCATGAGCAGAGATATGGGGTGGCTCAAAGCCCTGAGTCCACCTAACACCTAAGCAGGGGATAGGATTTCACAATCAGAAGGGAATAAATGAATGTGCTCTGGTAGTCCATTTTTAACAAGTTCTCTGCCTCTCTGTGTAACTGAGAACAGCCAACAGATGAAAAGGTGTGTGTATGTATATATATATCTTTCTTATCCCATAGAGCAGAATGGGAACTATGCTATTGGCAGCCAGCAATGCTTGTTAAGCTTTGGACTGCTTCTATTGGTGTTTCCAAATTCTATCCTCCCCCAATTGCCTTGGAGTGTTATAAACAGTTTTATTGAGCTCAGACAGTCTGTCTGAAAATGCATCCATTCATGAACTGCCATAAACAGCACCAAAGTTCATGAAATGTTTGTGCCAGGAGCCTTTCCATGAACATTGCTTTGTGAACCATGAACTGGCCAAAATTCATGACGATCTTTACTTTGTGAGCCAGTTTGTGCCCATTTCTACTGTAAACAGAAATAGGCTTTGAGAGCTGTAGATTCTCTGTATAACAAAGCATTCTTTCATGTGTCATCTCCCAAAAGCAGGGTTGTAAGACCAGAGCAACAACAGTTCTTTATAGCAGCCCTTAATTTAGCACAGGTAACAAATTTATACACAGCACCATGCTATCTTGACAGTGCCCTGGTCTGTGGAGGCCATGTCACAGTCAAGAGAAAAGCTCTCTCTTAATATCTCTCACAGTGAAACACAAAAGGATTTCACTCTTTTCAGATTGAAGATAAAATGTCATAATGCAGGAAAATGCAGACTATATTAGATTTTTGCCAGCAATATCAACCACTGCAGTTACTCCCCCCCCCACACCCATAGAAGAAATTTCTCAAACTTTCTTTGACCACAAAGAAAATGTAGCAGCACCTGGAGCAGCAGGAGAAGGCGGTGCATAGTTCTTTTCTTCTTCCATAAACTGCAAGGCAACAGTGCAGAAATTGCTTTCATACTGGACTACAAGGTGACTCAATGCCACCACCAGCTCCTGTGGAGAGGCAAAGGAGGGAAAAAATTAGACCTCTGATCACGGTGTGTGCATCAAACAACCAACTGCAAGGAACAACTTCCATCTCTGCAAAATTTGGGGAACATTTCAATCAGTAGGTGCCTGGTATCTCAGAGAGCAGAAAATAAGATATCCAACACTAAAAGTCAAAGTTTGAGGAATGCTATTTCCTGAAATGCTGTGATTTTCATGTTACCTAAAGAAACTGCACTGTGGACGAGTCATTCTTGGATAAGGAGTTCGTTTTAAAAATAAGACATGTTGGTCCCATCCATCCATGCTGAGAAAAGTTCAGACTCAAAATGCACAATTAACATTTAAGAGCTCCTAAGCTGATTTGGAGTGCAATTTCACAACTTTTATTTACAAAAAGATTAACAAGCTGCTATAATCAGAACAGACTTAATGTTATTTTAACATAAAATTATTCTAGTGTGCATGAGCAACTCCTCCCCCATTCTATCTTCAGGTTTGTGAGACTTGCTTCACCTATAATGATGAATCCCAAAGTCAAAATGCATTCTAAAATAATAATAAAAAAAAATCTAGACCACTGATGGAGTTGGGTCAATGTTTGGGACTTATCTAGCAGTCTTATTTCTGTGACCTGCAAATAATACCCTTCCAAGGTTCCTATGTAATGGACTCCATGGGAATGTTTGTAGATTTTTGGTTCCCCCCTCCCCTGCAAATTATCTATAAGCAGAAGGAGAATGGTATCTTGGATTTGTTTCAACACACTGCTGTAGAGGAGTGATTTTATGTAAGAACTGGCCCCGAATCTTCCTTTAGAGCAAAGGTTAGAGACCCTTATTTCTTTGAAGAGCTATGTTTCAAGACAAAGGCAGACAAGGAAAGGATTTATGCAATAATTTTCACTCTAAATGGAAGATTTGTCTGCTCTGCCTTACAGGATTGTGTCATGCAGAGATCTTAAAGGGTCTCAGGCAGCAAGGGCACAAGTCTGAGATGATTTGAAATACTGACCCTGTGACCTTCTGAATGCAAACCATGCGCTCTACCACTGACCTATGGTCCCTCCCTGAGGGACAGATGTGGAATGGATTTCTGCAATAATATCGAGTTTGAATTCTAAGATCAGACCTACACATTTTTTACTCAACTCAGCAAGATCAAGAACAATTCTCAGCTAAAGAGTAATGCTAGTAATGTGCTTCTGTTCTCAGTTCACCATGCCAAGTACATACTAGGTATGTGCGCTTGGTACATACTAAGCCGAATAAATACCTGGAAAATACCTTATCAGTATTTTTCGGGTATTTATTCAGCCGAATACAGATCAGAGACCTGTATTTGGCTACCAAAATAGCCAGACCCAGATATAAGCCATTTTTTGTTGTTCAGTTGCACAGTCGAGTCCGACTCTTTGCGACCCCATGGACCAGAGCACGCCAGGCCTTCCTGTCTTCCGCTGTCCTCTGAAGTTGGCTCAATTTCATGTTCATTGCATCGATGACACTGTCTAACCATCTCATCCTTTGCCGTCCCCGTCTTCTTTGACCTTCAATCTTTCCCAGCATCAGGGTCTTTTCCAGTGAGTGCTCCCTTCTCATTTGGTGGCCAAAGTATTTGAGCTTCAGTTTCATTATCTGGTCTTCCAGGGAACAGTCAGGGTTGATTTCTTTTAGAACTGACTGATTTGATCTTCTTGCAATCCAAGGGACTCTCAAGAGTCTTCTCCAGCACCATAGTTCAAAAGAATCTATTCTTCGGCGCTCGGCTGAAGAATATATATGTTATATGTTATAAGAATATAAGCCAATATTATTCAGCTATTATTGGCTTTTGTTCAGCATGGCTAAATGTGTTCAGTTCACTGGCTAAGTTTGGCTGTGGCGGCTGTACAACTCAGTGAGTGAATGGAATGCATTTAAACTTTAAATACAGTGGCACAAAGCAGCGAGTAAACTGAAGGCATTTAAAGTTTAAATGCCTTCAGTTCACTCGTGGAGTCGCATGGCAGCGGCATGACTCGGGAGTGAAATACTAAATTATACCCTATGGGGACAGTCCCCATAGGGTATAATAGAGCCAAATATATTCAGGTTTCCTGAATATTTACCTTAATACCAGTACAATACCGATATTTGGGAATAATGATATTTTTGGGGTCCAGTACACCCAAATTGATAAAAAAACAACATTTTATTTTGCACATCCCTAGTACAGACTCACTGGCCCATGCATATTTCCTCCTAAGGCACCAACAACATATACTCCTTCCTCACTCCTTTTCTTGCACAAAGAAAATGGTAAAGATACTACTGCTTAGCAAAAGTCTTCTCTTTTGCAGTATTGTGGCAGATCACACTGCTGTCTGAGCATCTTTGTAAAAAATTAACCAAGAGAATCAAGTCCCTGTGAAACCAGCCTTCTGACAAAATTAATACTCATCTGTCACCTTGAGAGAGGATGAGGGCACTTTTTTATACTTGGCTTGGTGAAGCATTGATTTTTCCTTCACTCTAGTGTGAAGATCTGAAGAAAGCTGGAGCGTTTGACTCTAAAATGAATTCTTTGCAACAAAAGCCTTTTATTCTTAGCCAGGCTCTCCTTATTCTTTGATTCAGCCCAGTATTGTCAAACTGATGTATTTTCACATGGACTACTGAAATGGACACCACTTCATTCCTCTCCTGTCCATGGACCCCTCCCTTCTGCACTTTTGCAGGACATAATGAATCATACTAAAGGGCAAGTTTCGTGCATGACAAAGGAGCCTACTGTCTGCAGTGTGAAGATTTGTCTACCTGTTCTACAGTGGGTCTGAGTGCCTGACAGAAACATCATGATATACACCACAAACTCCAGATCTGTCTGTAGTGGGTGACAGAGCCCGAAGAAATGAAGCATCCTAAAGTTCACCAATTGGCTGTGCTGCTGAAGTCCTACTTGCACAAACAAGCATCAGAAAAGCTGAAATGCATTTTGCTTGAAACAGAATGCAACTCATGGGCTCTGGCCATTGTGCCCCTGAGCACTAGGCAAGTGGTTCCTGTGTTATTGATCTATAAATCAGAGGTCAGAAGATGCAACCTTCAGTTGACTAAGACTAAGCTGCTATTTCATTCCCCCTTCTCCAACTATAGTTTTTGGAAAAGCTCTTTGCTGAAGTGAATTGTCCTGCTTTCCCTTTGTCCTTGCATAGCCACTCCCCTTTGCCTCCCAGAGGGCTTCCAGATACTTCATGTTTCCAGTAACAAATTAATATTTCATATTTAATTTCATAGCTTGTAATGTAAGACACTAGTACCAATACAGTGATAAACAGAAGAGCATTACACAGACAGAACGTGGCTCTTGTTTCCTGAGGAAAAAATGAGACAGTCTTCAAAGTGAATACATTCTGGAGGCAGAGGCCAGCATGGCTAATCTCATTTCCTTGCCTCTTGTTTTTCTTCAGGGGCTTCAAAAAGAAAGCAGTGACATAACAAGCTTGACAGCTTACTCCTGATGGATCTATTTTCCCTTTGGCACTCAGCAACATTTAGACATGCACTTTCCAGTGGTGGATAAGCTGCAGGGTCTAATATAATTTTTTTAATGCCTTGTCTTTCACTGTTTTGTTATACAATGCCCTTTTGTGTCTCAGGAGGGATCTCCCATACTGCACAGCAAATTAAATGCCATATTGATAAAGACCTCGTGTCTAGACATACTGGACAAAATGTAGCACCTTGATGTTCAGGACAAACAAGAAAGGCATTTAGTATTTCATAGTGATAGCCCACAGAAGTCATGATGTATCCATAAAGCTTGTGACCTCAGTTCAAGGACTGCTATCCCCCCTCCCAGCAAGTGCTCTTCTAAATCACGCTCTGGGTACTGAACTTAATTTTATATTTCCTTTAGAACATGGAGAGTGGCATAATGTTATTCTTCAGGCAGAAAACACAATGCCAAGCAGAAACTGACATTTATGTAAACCTCCCAGGAAACGGAGAGACAGAATGATCGACACAATGGGACTTGCCATTCAGAGAAATCATTGTGAACAGAGGGCTGATATAACCTGCCAGAGTGCAAGAGCAATGACGACACACACTCAGCCGCCAGGCAGCTGGCCAGTAACCCTTTTATGATGCATGTCTCCCTGAGATAGTGGGGGGGGGGGAGAGTAGTAGTAAAGGGCTCTCTACTGATAAGAAAGGCAAGCTCTTTGTTAACAGGAAATAATTCTATTTAGGAGAACCAATGTTTTTAAAATCCACATAATGGCACCTGCATACTGATGAAGCTACTTCTGTTTCCAGGAACCCACATATACTTAAAAAAGGGTGGGGAAAAGAAAACCCATTCTTACTGGCAGTTCTGCTGAAGATAAGGGATTAAAGCAAGGAAAAACCAATGAGAACTGGCTGAGTTGGGGCAAAAGAGGAAGGTTTTTTTGATCATTTAACATAACAATTTAATTTGAAAAGGAGAATGCAAACAGGTCCAGCCTCACTGCACAGGCAGCTGTAAGAAACACACGTCAGGAACACAAGCCGAGTTCAGAAGACAAAGCATACTTGAGGCCAGATAGCCATTACCACTAATCGCATCGTAAGATATTCATATACATCCTCATGCATCCCACAAGGAATGCCCTACAGATCAGCCATTTCCAAACATGTCATGTTTTCCATCATTACTTAATGCTGCCAGATAGTAACATCAAAAGTAGCACATTTTTGAAATGTGGTGCTCCCTCTGAAGCTTCACTATCTGTAGAAAGGAACAACCATAAACTTCTGGAATAAGAAGCTAACCTTTAAAGTACAAAACATCTGGGAATCCTAAATTATGTCTAACAACATTATAAAAGTTATTCATTTGTTCAGATATCATGACATGTTTATGCGCTACTCTCTAGGGAAAAATAAAACTTATGACAAATTGTCAAGATGTAGTCTGAGTTGCTCATAAGAACAGACAAAATTGCCTTACATCAAATGGGTCTATCCAGCCATCTAAACCAGTACAAACTAGTTTGATGGGGAGGGGGTCACCTGCATAAACCTACCCCTCCCCATCCTTTTCTATACCTTTCGGACCATGGGGCTTCCATCATTGATGAGCTGGGCCAGCATCATTGCAACATTGTGATCGATGGTGGTAGAATGATCAGTCCGTTCAGCTGAATTCCCTACAAAGGTGCCAAGGGCAAAGACTGCAGCACAGCGAACCTGCAAGAGAAATATGGTTCACCAAGGTCCCAGTTCAATCTTTTAGCATGCCCTTTCTGCTATACTCTTCAGTCTCACTTGTACGTGTTGGTGTGCCAAAGATGATGCAAAAAACTAACATTGGAAAATACTTTCAAATTAAGGTTATTTGTAGTGAGCAAACTGGATACATTTGAGATAATTATTTCATATAACTAACTGTCCACAGCCACTAGAGTTGATAATTGAAATCTAGTTACGGTCTAACCAAAGCCTCGATTATGATGATGATGATGATGATGATGATAATAATAATAATAATAGATTGGATTTATACCCCGCCCTTCACTACTCAAAGGTGTCTCAGAGCGGCTTACAAACTCCTTTCCCTTCCCCTCCCCACAACAGACACCCTGTGAGGTAGGTGGGGCTGAGAGAACTCTTGACAGAAACTGCTCTTTTTCAAGAACAGCTGTGCCAGAGTTATGGCTTGCACAAGGTCATCCAGCCGGGTGCAAGTGGAGGAGTGGGGAATCAAACCCGGTTCTCCCAGATTAGAGTCTGGGTGCTTAACCGCTACACCAAACTGGCTCTCTACTGATAAATGATTTTGTCAGGTGATTTAATGCAAAAACAATGCAAGACTTTTTTTTGGCTAGGCACAATTTAGGCAATGTTATGTTAGTGGTTCCATTTTTTCCAGTGGATCTTTAGTCAAAGATCTAGCGAGGTTACCTCTGGGATTGGATCAGACAGAAGACTGTAGAGTTTTTCATGGGCACTATCTCTCACACCACACCACCTTGCAGAGTCAAAATTCTGCCAGATACGACCCAAGCAAATCGCCACCCACTGGCGCAAAAGAGGATGTGGATCATTCAACTGTTCCAAGCAAATGGCAATCAAGTTCCCTTGAAGACAGGCTTCCTACAACAAAGTATTGAAACAAACAGCAAGCGAATATATCAATACCTAGGGAAATGATCCAGTGGGAGAACAGAAATACACTTAGGCCAGTGGCATGCAACTTTTAAAAACAAATCAAGATTATCCATGAGGTCAGATGCAGAGGCAACCATCCCTTTCGCCTTTTGAACTCACCTGCCCTGTATTGTAATTGTTGACAATCACGGCCAAGATGAAAGCTGTCATTGTCCTGTGTTCAGCCTTAAACACATGCAGAAGAAGAATATACCTTTAAGACTTCAAGATAACAATATAGGTATGCTGCAAAGCAAGTTAAAAAAAAAACACACAGATGCTGCCCTTGTTGGAGGAATTTGTCCTGTTGTCTTCAGGAGACTCTGAGAACATTCAGGTTTGTCTGAATTTTGTTGCTACTTAATGAAAATGGGGACAGTGGCCATGAAAATCACAGTGTGGCAGGGCTTTGAATTATTTCAATTTAGTTATTTCAAGCATTAGCATGTAATGCTGGAAAGTACTGTTTTAAATAACAGTTTCAACCACACACCAAAACCTGTGTGAGCACATGTGCACACATGCACATACAGCACAGCTCTATTAGAAAACAAAAAAGGAAAATACTCTTCATAAGTTTTTCTAGCCTTCTGTAAAAGAATTTTGGGGATTTTCCGCTGTTTCTATCTTGATAGATGTCAACAAGCTAATAATATGGTTGCTTTGTGTTTCAAAGAAATAAAAGAACGATATGAACATTTTCCCAAGGTTACTGTGTTTCATATGCAGTAAGGAGAGATGGGAAATTATTTTGTACTTTGCTAGATTTTCCCCTTAAGTGCAAGGTTTTAAAAACAAATGCAGAGAACAGATCTGTGCCCCAATAGTCCCTGCTCATAACTGCACTATAGTGAAGACAAAAAGAATGCCTTTGTGTATCTACTTTTTCAAGACTTTAGCTTCTTTTTTAAAGATGGAACAGGTTGTTACACAATCCACTGACAATAACCTCTCAGTCCACTTATGTGGTCTCCTTTGCAAAGAGAAATAAATACGGAGTGAAAGAATGTTTGTGTGGAAAATACTTTGATTACATAAAAACAATTTAGACATTTTAAGTCTCCTCTTTGGCTTGCCTAGCGCACTGCAACCTCACTCTCCCCGTCCACTCTTCAAAAGGCTGTTGTATGTTACAGCTACATAATAAGAATCTCTCTCCATCGACAAAACTGGTACTGTAACTTGTCTTATAACAGCAGCACAGCCAAGATAAAGCAAGCTACTTCTGAACAGAATTTGAAAAGGGAGGGGGGAAAACTGATTATTTGTCCTTACCGGCATGTAGGGATCTGCCAAAACAGAAAGGAAATATTTGTGACCGTTGTCCTTCACAAGGTCGGCTTGGCAGGACTGAAAAACAAGGGGAGGGGGGACAATGAGTACAATAACCTGAGAAGAATTTCTTTTATGCCTCTAGATGATTTATGAATATTTCATATCATAGCAATTGTTTCTCCTCCAAAACCATTTTTCAATTGATCAGAGAAAGAAAGAAAAAACTTTGAAGCAATGTCTTTGCTGGGACAGCGGACAATACTGGTTAAGATTCATTTTACAGAAGTACAGATAGGATAGCTGTCTCCTGTCCAAGGAGCTGAACGACCATGGGAAAGATTCCACAAGCTGTTCATTCAGTTCTCTGTGTGTTTGGAGAGTTCTTGGTAGCAATTATCAGCAAGCCACATCTGTAGAGAATGGTTCAGCTCTTGCTCATTCAGCCTAAGCAATGGGACTGGGAGAACAGCCATCTGCAAGCCAGGTGTAGAAAAAGAAAGCTGTCCTCCATACTTCATAACATTATGTCTTTTCTAAAGGACAAAACTCAGAGTCCTCCTATTTCTCCTCTAGTGACCAAAATGCAGAAAGCTAGAGGGAGAAAGAGAGGATGGATTTTTAAATATTGACAAGCTTTTCCTTTCCAGAAACTGCCTCAGGAGCCAGGTGGCTCATTTGGCACTGGCATTCCTTTCTGATCTCAGAGCATGATGGGGAAATTTCCCTTGGATAAATCACAAGCCTCTGCTTAACGTATCCAGTATCTGCTGAAAATGCATATATAGTCTAAATGATGCATGTGTCTTGGTGTTGTGCAGATGTTTGTTACGGTCTTCTTAAACTTATCTCTCAGCATAACACAATTTTAGATTTCCATGCTTGCCTCCCAGAAGAAGCAGTAACAGGAACCCAATTTGTTGCATGACTGTGATCAAGCCATGAATTGTAGAATTTGGCTTCCAGCAAATTTCTAGCCACAGTAGTTGTAGAAATAAGCCTTAAAAGCTGACAAGAGGCTCTGCCCTGCCTTACTGCTTTCCAATGTCTAATGAGTTCCATTATTTCTCTGCCACTATTACTGGACTTTATTCTAGTAGGATACCTATCTCAGTATGAATATCACTGGCAACAACTCTTTATGTAAAAGTTGGTATCCAATGAATCAACATTTCATTTACTACAGCAAAACCAGAACTTTGGTGTAGAGTACTTAAATAATTTTGGTCACAATACGACTGTAGAATTTGGAAGTTCTGGTTGTGGAATTTGGGGTTTTAACATGAAGTATTCAAAGTTCTAATCAGACAGCCTCATATATCTAATTCTGAATATGGCTTCCAGAATGTGGATCAAAAAATCCATGCAATGGGCTACCTCATGGCCATTCATACATGAGGGAAGAGGTGGACAAAAATGACACTTGTAGAATCTGAATATATCCAGTTATGGAGGAAGCCTCTCATCCTCAACCCAACTGGCATATGGGAATGGGGGAGGGGGTGTCACACAATTTCAAAGTTACCCAACTGTGGGAGGATGGATGGAAAGAATGTGAAGCCCTGTAATGGAGGAAAGTGGAAAAACAGTCACCACAATTATAACTGGGGGTGTTTCCCCAGCTATGTTTTGAAAGGGCAACATTGTTGATCACCAACTATGACTGTGGGGCAGGAAGAATCTTGCCTCCAAATAAAACCTGGGCCACGGGGAGGCTCCCCCAAATCCTCCTGCTGTTTCTTTGTGGATGCCCTTCCTGTCTTCCTCTTCAGTCCTCTTTCTGGCTGTTGTTTTCTCCTCCTTCCTCCTGTGCCCTTTCCTTGCCTTTCCCTTTCCTCACTGCTTTCTTCTTCCATATCTTTCTCTGTCTTCTCCCATTCTCCCTCTGTTCTGTGTCTCTGCTTTTTCCCACCTTCTTTCTGCTTTTGCCTTTTTCTTTTTTCTCCTTTGTTCTCATCCCCCATCATCTTGTCGTCCTTTTTCTATTTCCCATTCCTTCTTTACCTCTTTCTCTCTGCCTTTTCCTTCCTTCTTCCCTCTTAATCTTTTCTATTCCATTCCTCTTTCTTCCTCCCTCCTTACCATGAAGATACCAATCTTGATGAGCTCCTGGGTCTTGATCCAGAAGCCAACAGGTGGAGCCTCTGGTTACAGCAGCCCCAGCAGGAAGCTAAGAGTGTGTTGGGCTTCTGGGTGGCCATCTCTCTGGGATCCTCCCTCATCTCCTCAGGCTCAGTTTAGGGTGGCAGCAGTTCCTTCCTCCGTTCACATGGAGGTGCCCTCTCAGCAGCAGATACCGATGAGCTGCTGTGCTGGCCAAGCAGCATCACTCAGCCCACCAACTGCACAGCTGCAGCTCACAAAATACCTTAAAGCAGGGTTGTCGAACTCAGAGGGCCGTATCTGACATAAATGAGACCTTGTTGGGCCAGGCCATGTGTGTCATAAAATGTAATGCCAGGTAGCGAGATACCAACTTTATAAAGGACACAAACATAAAGGGTGGTTTTTTTTACTTAAAATAAAAACATGCTTGAAACATTAGCACTCTTGCAATATTTTGTTTATTTAACAGTGTCTGATAAATGACACCTCTTGCTCTGAATTATTGCATCAAAATGTCCGTGCTGTTGCAATCTTGAGTATGCTGTTCAGGTGTGTATCTGTAAACTGCAAACCTATGATGACGCAGCAGCAGCAGAACTGGAAGAAGAAGCAGAAGACAGGCAGTTCCACTGCGGGCCTGATAGAAGCCCTTGGGGGCCTGATTTGGCCCCCGGGCCGCATGTTTGACACCCCTGCCCTACAGCTTATTGTCAGTCACTGCTTGTGAGGCCCCTTGGTGTTGTCTCCTGTGGTGGTGGCAGAAATACTGACAGTTTGAGTGGTGCGACTGGCAACTAGGACAGCTGGGTGATCCAAGGCCTCCTAGAGTGTGGTCTCCACCAGCTAAAACCACCTCTCTGACCACCTCAACCTAACCTAATCAGGTTATGAATTATTGTCAGGTTATGGATTATTTCAGTCCACTCAGTCTAGAGGAAGTTGACAAATTGCTCTTAACTGTACGCCCTACCACATGCTTCCTTGACCTGTGCCCATCATGGTTCATCAAAGCGGGTCACAGTGGGTTTCGAGGTACCCTAAGGGAGATTATTAACAAGTCCCTCTCGGGGGGCTTGTTCCGTGGGGCACTTAAGGAGGCCATGGTTTGAGAACCAGTCTGTGGCGCGTCGCCATCAGATGTCTCCTGGGGAGCTCCCAGGGAGATGCTGAATCTCCGAGTTTTAAGTTGTGGGTCCAGGGTGTCTGGTTCCCAATGAGCCTTCCCGCGGGGGGGCTCATTGCAGGGGACTTATTTTAGGAACTTGCATGCACGGAGGTGCGCGAGAAGATCTCCTACCATCCCGAAGCAAAGACCTGAGAGAGATCGCTCTTTGGCAGCCACTAAGTGACAAGACATGATTGGCCGAATTTAAAGAGAGTGAACCTTATCCTCAAGATAGAGAAAGATGTCTACCGTGAGTACTCATTAATGTAACACTGAAGAATTTAATGACTGTTTGGAAATGCCCCTTTAAACTTAAAAGAAAGGGGTAGGGAAACTTGTTGGAGTTTGGAAATCCACTCTGTGCAGACTCCACTGTAACAGCAAAGCATCTGCCTTTTGTTGAATGATTCCGGGACGGTAAGCACGCTTGCTTATGGTTACAGTTGAGAAATATTGAAAGTTAACTCTGGAGATTGGTGGTTTACCTGACTGAGCTGGCTTCTGTTATTACATTAAGATGAGCGTACAAGCCATGGAAGAGAGTCTTAAGGCCACTAACTTAGCCCAAATGTTATTGGAGGAATTTAAATTTTTAATTTTTGACTTGGTTGTTGCGACGGTCCAGGAGGCTTGTGAAGTGATATTTAATAAAAGTGAAAATGAGCCTCCACAAATGAAAACTGGAAAAAAGGAATTGCAGCCTTCAACCCTTCAAGATACTCATCAAAATCCCGGGCAAGAGAATTTATTGCATGAATAGCCTTTACATCAAAAGAAGAAGAAGAATTTTGTGCAGAGAGCACCAACAAGCTAATTAAAAGACAAATAATGAGAGAAACCATCAAAGAGGAGAAGGAAAAAATACTGCAAAAAAGAAGACACAGAAGAATATATGGAATCTCCAACTTACTTAAGAATTGGACACAGATGGAACCTGCTACAAATATGTTCACTTGCAAAAAACCTGTATACTTACAAAAATAAAAGGCATAGATTTACAGCATTTATGAAAAGAAAGTTTCAGAAGAGGGGAAAAAAGAGACCTAAATCTTTATAAATAAACCTAGAAAGGGAACTATCTTATGTGGACTTTGACCCAAGTCAGCTAATATGGATGATGTTTTTGATATTAAAGTAAATCTATACAGGTTAAGCCAAGTTTAAAAATTATATAAGTAAATTTCCTAGAAGCTAGATGGTAAAAATATACTTGTATATCTTTTATGTTCCAAGACATTTATGAGATTAAGTTTTAATGGAAATTCAATGATTTATAAATTAAATAAGATTAGGTTAGAAAATGGCTTTGTTATGATAACTGACTGATATTTGCTTATTAAATAGTAACTATATTTAGGAGAAAATGTCAAACAGAATGTTATAGTAATTGGAACTATATTGTTATGTTTATATATGCTATTATTAAATGTAGTATATAAAAATAGGGGAAAGGGTAGCAACAACCCTGTATGATTTTTATGAATTCCACAGCTGGAAATATATACTAAAAGAATTACATAATCTTAAAGAAGTATAAATATATTCAGTTAAAAGGTGAATGAGATGGTAATTGATTAAATTTGGGAATATTGAAATTAATTTTTACATATTTAGAAAGTAGTGGAAAGGATAATTAGAATGTCATTTTAAACATTAAGATAGAAATGAAGATATTGCTTAGAAAATTATAGTTGGAATAGTATGTGCTCAAATATAAAAAAAAGTTATGTAATTTTAAGATAAAAGCTTGCAAATATTTTACTTAGCTATAAGGTAGAAAAATAGAAACTGAAATGTTTAATTATGA